TCAATTGTACTGACAATTGTTTTTAGTAGTCTGAAATCCATGTAGCCTAAACAGATTTCTGTTTTGACCCTTAATTAGTGCTCATCATAAAGAAATATCTTCCACTATATTCTGTCATGTTCTAAGTTAAAAAACATTCTTCACATCAGTATCAAAGAAGACTGGTCTAGTATGGGATCTAAGACATGAGAAAATTATGGAAGTCACTGAACTCCATGTCAGGAAGGATATATTTGACTGTCAAAATATAGGACTCATATGGGATAGAGGTAAATAAATAATAATCCACTAGTAAACCAACATAAACAAGAAAAAGCAACTGGCACACTACATAAAAGAACTAATCCCTGTGCAAAGCACTGGGAGATTTTAAACCAGGAGAATATTCACTTACACATGAACATGGACGATTTCTCACATAAACATTTACGCAGGAACGCATGGTTACAACCAAAGGTATCACTCAAGGAAGGACTGAATGCAACCTCCAGACATGACTAAGGAGAACGGAACAAATGGTGCCTTCAGTTCTTTTGCTTTGACAGAAGGCAGCTTTCTCATCCATTTTGTTTACAAACACTGGTAAGTAGAGTATTCTTGAATTAGAAACAAAGCAAGCTTGGAAAGATACATTTAACAGAAGCATATAGGAACTATTCTGAAGAACAAACACATCTAAACAGAGACCAAACCAGGGAAAATTCTACCAAGAAAGCTCCTTGAAGCATAAGCACAGATATCCATGCTAGAAGGCTTACAGCAGCTACTAGGACTCCAGTTCAGACCCTGTAGCAATCTGAACAGCTGTTGACTTTCTTTCTGTTGTGCAGATGAATACCTATAAAATTGTCAGTACTACATTGTCCAGTCAGCCACAAGAACTGCTGGTGTAAACAACAGCCTGCATTTCCAGCACAGTTTACATATTATCACTGAAATTCAAAAGGTTATATTTAAAACGAGACAGAAGAAAATACAAAGTTACTCTGCAATTGAAAAATACAGGGAAAACACAAGTGAGGTTGCATACACCGAAATGGAGGGAGAACCACTCTCTCAGCGTGATTGTGAGCAGTCAGTCTGTGAACCCTGCAATCTCAAACAAAAGGACCCTGCTGACTGCCTTCCCACTTCCTTCACAACATCAGACAGGAAGAAGAAATCACCAATTAATTGTGAAACAAGTTATTGATCACTTCTAATTTTCACCTACAATAAGCATCCAGGAGATATCATTCATACAAGAGCATGAGCCTGCCTTGGTGTGCCCCTGTAACTTGGCATTTTTCAGATACTAACAGTAATTTTAGAAGTTGGATAGGTTAAATTAAAGGAGATACTTGGGGGACTTCTTTGGTGGTTTGTTTTTTTTTTCCTCCTTGTAGGTAATACACAATGCTGAAGATCATTTCTCTCAAGTATTTTAGATACAGAATCCCTGCTTCCTTGCATACAGCTTGGTGCAACATCCAAAGAGCAAAAAGCAGCTGGGCTCATCTGCCTTCAGCACCCACAGGAACAGGGAGTGAAAACCCCACACAGTCAGCAAAAGGCAGCCAGGCACTCAGACTTCCTATGGAAGAATAGAGGACAGACCTATCCATAGACTTTACCATAGACCTTTATGAGGAGGATAGACCTCCTCTGCACGTTACACCTGCACACAAGTTCCACCACAGCTACCCTCACACATTAACCTTTTGCATAACACACTCAGAACAAAGTCAGCAAAGGCAGAGTTTTTTGGAGGCATTCAGAAGGCACGAATAGTTCCGTGACTTGTTACAATTAGACGCGCTCAGAGCAATCCAGCTGGTGCATACAGAATAGCCTCAGAGGGCTCAGGTCCCCCACCTCCACATGTGAGGGCAGCTCACTAGTAGCAGCCTCCCACACACTCATTTGTAGACATGTCCATCACAAGGCGAACAAAAACTTAACGCTTCAAGTTGGCTCTTTTTGCTTTCATTTACCAGTAGCAATGAAAACCACTGTGTCAGGGGAACATCCTTCCCCACACTGATGTTAATGGAACACAGATGATCCTCAGGATTGGGTTCAGACAAGGAGGATACAGTTCACTTTGCCAAACAGGCTACACTTCTCTTCTGCACTCACTGTTGTGAGATATTCCATAATTCTTTCATTTTAGAACTAAGCATTATTACACACAACATGCATTGTATTTTTCATGCCATTCATGTTTTAGGACTTTGCTTTTTAGGCTGAGGAATACTGATAGCCCAGTGCCATTAATATATGTTCCCAATAAGATAGGGCCAAGCATTAATCTAATCATACAGAAATGTCACAAGATCCCATTTCCAAAAGCCAGCACCCATGCCCACCACTCACTGATGTCAGACCACATATGCTGGAAGTGCTGAGATCTATTGTTCCATCCATTTTCCCCTGTTCTGTGAGGTCCTGGCATATATCATTAGAAACAGCTGTACAACGTAACACAGGGATATGCAACAAAATGTAAGAACCTCACACACATATTTTGGTGTTTCACAAAGTATTAGCATCAGCAGTACCACTCCAGAAAAGCCAAAGCAAACAGTACACATGCAAGCACTGCTTTCACTGCTTTCCAGGCAGAAGAGATCTGCAGAGCTTAATTCTATGAAAATCTTTTATTCCATAAAAATTGTGGCAGTCAGAAGTCATCCCCAGAGACTGGAAAAAGGAAAATATTTCCATAATCAAGAAAGGGAGAAAGGATAATCCAGGGATCTGCAGGCTGATGAGCCTCAGGTCTGTACTTGGGAAGATCATAGAGCAGATCCTCCTCAAAGCTATGTTAAGGCACAGGTGAGACAAGGTGGTGATCAGAGACAGCCTGCATGCCTTCAGCAAGGGCAGATCATGTCAGAACAATCCAGTGGCCTTCTATGGTGTACTGATGACATCGATGGACAAAGGAAGGGCAACGGGCAACTGATATAATCTACCTGGACTTCTGCAAGGCCTTTGACTTGATCCCACATATATCCTTATCTCCAAATAAGAGAAAGATTTGAAGGACTATTAAGTGGATAAAGAATTGGTTGGATGGTCCTAGCCAGAAGATTGCTGTCTATGGCTCTATGTCCAGGTGAAGGCAGGTCACACGCGATCTCCCTTCTGGGGTCCATCTTGAGACTGTTGCTTTTCAACACCATTATCAATAACACAGACAGTGGGATAGAGTGTACCCTCAGCAAGTTTGCTGACAATGCTAAGCTGAGTGTAGTTCATGCAAAAGGAAGGAAAGAATGTCATCCAGAAGGACCTGGACATGCTCAAAAAATGGGCACATGAGAAGCTCTTGAGATTTAACAAGGCTAACTATAGCTATATTGCACTTGGTTTGCATATTGCATTATAGCTATACAGCTATATCGCATTATAGCTATACAGCTATATTGCACTTGGATTGAGACAATCCCAGATACAAGTAAAGACTGGGAGAAGAACTCATGAAGAGCAGCCCTGCAGAGAAGGATGTGGGGTCCTGATGGATGAAAAGCTGGACATAAGCCAACAGCATGCTCTTGCAGCACAGGCGGCCAACAGTATTCTTGGGCTATAACAAAAGCTGGGTGCTAGCAGAGAGAGAAAGGGAATTGTCTCCCTCTATTCTGCCCTTGTAAGGTTCCATCCAGAGTACTACGTCCAATCCTGGGGCCCCCAGCACAAGGATGCAGAGGTGTTGAAGTAGGTCCAGAGTAGAGCCACAAGGATGATCAAAGGACCCAAAGGACCTCTCCTATGAAGAAAGTTTGAGGGAGTTTGATTTGTTTAGCCTGGAGAAGAGAATGCTCTGGGGAGACTCCACTGGGGCCTTCCAGTATGGAAGGCTCTTGTAGTGATAGTACAAAGGGTTTAAACTAAGAGCATTAGGTTAGATGTTAGGAAGAAATTTTTTACTCAGAGTGGTGAGACACTGTAACAAGTTGCCCAGAGAATCTTGAGCACTCTACCTCTGGAAGCATTCAAGGCCAGGTTGGATAGGATCCTGGGCAGCCTGATCTAGTGGTTGGCAGCCTTGCCCACAACAAGAGAGTTGGAGCTAGATGATCTTTAAGGTCCCTTCTAAACTAAGCTGCTCTGTGATTCTCCTGAAGAAGAGGTATAGTCTGTCCCAAACCACACAACAACAAAAACAAAAACACATTCTTCATCAGCTTGATGTAGGCAAGAGAATACCAATCGCACAACCGCATGTTCTTCACTTACATTTATTCCAACCGAAGTATTTCTTATCTAAAAACACAGCTCCACTCACAAGGCATCGAGGATTACCACTAAATCCTTTTTTTTTTTTCTTTTTGAAGTAGATTCTGACATGGAGAGGAGGGAGAAAGGAACATCTCTGGGTCAAAGACAAACTTCAGAAGGTCTGCACTGCAAATTCTCACCGTGATTTGCAGCTCTATCAATTGCTTTTCTGTTCTAATCGCAGCCGAGTGCTACAGCAGCACGGCCCCAAACAAGCCCACATTCATGGGAAGAAAAGGAGTTACAACACTTATCTGAGGGCTGAGCACGCGCCTCCCCGAGCTCTCCCCCAGGAGCGCGGTAGCGGGGCCGGCAAAGCGGGCGGCCCGGGCGGGTACCGAGGATCGGCTCCGGCCCGTCCCAGCGGCGGAGCCTACCGGGGTCCGGCGGGGACCGAGACGCTGCTCGGATAAAGTGCCTGGAAGTATAGCATCCGCCGTACTTCGGGGAACAAGCGGCAGCGCGCTGCCCAGAAGAGAAAGGAGGAAGGGAGCAAAAAACAAACACTGAGAGTCCGAACGCAAGAGCGGCAGCTCCGTTTCCCCCGGAAAAGCCGGCGGGCTGCGGCGGAGCCAGGACCCCCGTGCTCGTCCCGCTCCGCCCCGCTCCGAGGAAGGCGGCCCGGGGGGCCCGCGCCGCGCGGCCGCTCCCTGCCCGGCGGGGTTGGGCGGGTGCAGACGCTCCCCTCCGCCCTCCCCCCGCCCCCCCCGCCCCGTGCCCCCCTCCCCGCTCACCGGCCGTCTCCTCCGCCGCCGCCGGCGCCCCCGCCACGCCGTTCAGGTAGAGGATGGAGAGCAGGTGGGGCTGCGTCTTCTCCAGGGCCACCCGCAGGTCCTGGAAGTGGTCCCGCTCCTTGGCCAGCAGCAGGGCGATCAGCAATTCGGCCTTGCCGCCGCCCGCCGCCTCCAGGTCGCGCAGGTCGCGGGGACCGAGAGCGCCGGCGGCCTCCAGCAGCTCCACCACCTTGTCCACCTCAGTCATGGCCTGCGCCAGGCTCTGCCGGCACTGCGCGAGCAGCTCCTTGTGCTTCGGCTCCATGGTCGCCGACGGCCAAACTTCGGCCCCCTGCCCCACCGGTCGGCCGCCGCCCCCGGGGACGCGCGGGTCGAGGGGGAGGCGCCGCCGCCGGCCGCCGCACGACTCCGAGCCGGGGCCGGGCCGCCCTGCGCCTCCTCCTCCCGCTGCGGGCTGCCGACCACCGCTCTCCCCTCGGGCGCTCGGGGGGGGGAAGCCGGCTGCGGGGCTGCTCCTCGTCCTCCTCGGCCGGCGCCGCGCTCTCCTTTCCGCCTTCCCGGCGGTCAAACAACTTCTCCTCCCCCTCCTCCTCCTCCTCTCTACCGCCGCCGCCTCCTCCGCCGGCAGCCGGCGCCCCCCACCCCGCGGGGCGGCTCAGCCAACTTCTCTCCTGCGCTCACTGCAGGCCGCGGGGCGAGGAGGGGTGGGGGGAGACGGCCTCAGCTCCAGGCGCCTCCTTTCATTCGCGGCAGCGCGCAGCCATATTGGTCGCACACGGCGGCTGCCTGCGCCCAGACGGTGCCGCGGCGGCGCATGGCCCGGCCCGCCCGCTCCGCGCCTCCCGCCGCCGGCGGCGAAACACGACGGCCTCTGCCCCGGCCGCGCTCCGCCCGTCACTCAGCGGCTCCCGCCGGCCGCCGGGGGGGGGGGGGGGCTGCAAGGAGGCGGGGCGCGGGCGGGGCGGCCCCGAGAAAGACCCGAGCCTCGGCGGCGGGAGAGCTATGGTGGGGGTGGCCGGCTGGCCGGCCGTCGATGGTGTGCAAGGCGATGGGGAGATCGGATCACTTAAGGGGCCGGCATCCCGCCAGTTCCGCTTGTCCCGCACCGAGCCCGGGCCCCTAAGCGGCGGCGGCGAGACAAAGGCCCCGCGGGGCGGTGCTGCTCGGCGGCGGGGCGCGCACCGCCATCTCCCGGAGGCGCGGCTCTGAGAGTGGGGCCTGGAGGCGGCGCGGCCCGCATCGGGCAGGGCTGGCAGGCTCCGGGCTGGCGGGCTCCGGGCTGGCATCGTCCCGAGGGAACAGTGTCTAACAGATACACCGAAACTCGTCTGATCCGACGGAAACGCCACAGTGCGGACAGACCGCTGGGATTTTTGTCCACTAGGAGTTACAGAAATGAGAGTTTCAAATAAAAGGTGTACATATTAGAAACGGGTGCTGTCTCATCTTCTCTTAAATGGGATTTTGGCTGTTCAACAAACAACTGTTAACTTACCAATGGAACACAAATGGCCTTGTTCTCAGCAGCTGCAGAATGTAATCGTGTGGCAAATAAAAAGAGTAACAACGTGTGGCTGAAGGCAAGCAGCCTGTCTGCGTTCCCGTCCTGAGCAGCATCTGAACCCCAAACAACCAGGGCACAGGCTGCAGAGCGACTGTGGCTACTTAAATCTGAAGTTCACATTTTATCTGAAAAACCCTCACTGGGTAAGCACACAAAGATAACAGCGGCACTCACGGCACAGCAGAAGTGCAACCAGTGATTGTATCATCTCCATCACATCCAGTAGCAGTTGGGTGACCTGAAGGTGCCCTGGGCCAACACCTGTGTGCTGTGTATAATGTCCATAGTGCTGCAGTCAGGGAGCTCATTCTGTTTTCTCTGAGCTCGCTGACTGGGAGCATTGAACTTCCACACTGTGTATCAAGTTGTGTTATGCAGTTCAACAGATGAGGATGATGTCTCACTTATGTGTAAACAGCCTTGGTTTCTGTGCATAACCGTGATACCAAATCTACTACACAATTCTTAGTGGCAATACAATATGAAAGCACTTGGGCATTTTTTCCTGTCTGGAAGGTCAATATTCAAAGGAATATCGCTCAATATTTACTAGTACGCAATGGGTTTGAAGCAAGTTTTTTCCATGTTTTATCCCTTGTTGCTCATGCTTTTGTGGATTCCTTTCTTCTAAATCTGCATCAACGGTTTTCTTAGTGAGACTTTTACAGGCAACACATGCAGAGCTTTGCATCACTGGCTAAGAGCTGATGTTGTAATACCTGCAAACTGCATTATTCTGAGGCCATTTGATTTTATCTGAAAATATGCCTATTTCTCTCCAACAAACTGGACAAACTTTAGTCAGGAAAGCAGTAGTACATTCCAGAAATACTGGTTAATGCTGGTATACATGGCTTGTTTTCAGCTCTGCAAAAAGAAACAGAACGGAGCCACCAGGGAGGTTAATGCAGTGTACGGGTGAGGCCAGTACAGGCACAGGTCTTGTATTCTTCTAGCAGTCAGCAACCCTGCATGCGGCACACAGTTCTTGGAATGAGATTATCTTTAAGGTCCCTTCTAGCCCTAGTCATTCTATGATTCTGATTATTGTAAAAAATTTGTTCCATATTTCCATTCTAAATCTCCCCTTTTTTAGATTAAAAGCATTTCCCTTTGTCCTATCACAAAAGATACAGCTAAAGAGTCTTTGTTCTTTCTTACAGCTTCCCTTCAGATACTGAAAGGCCTCCTTGAAGGTCAGGTCTCCTTGAAGCCTTCTCCAGGCTCAGTAGCTCCAGCTCTCAGCCTGTCCTGACAGGGGAGGTGTTCTGTCCCCTAATGGAATAGATATACGTGTTATATTTGAAAGCTGAAACTATGGAACATGCAAAATTATTGTGCCAATGTGAATTGAACAAGATTTGGATCGTTACAATACCCCAGAGTGTACAACTCTACTGCCAAGATAACAAAGAAGCTAAATCAATTTTCAAGGAAGCCTCCTCCAAAGTCCTCAAGAAGAAAGGGAAAAACTCTCCCTGGTTTCCCTGCCAAGTTTTCTGGGATAAACTATGGAAGAGATTTTCAAACTTAGATTTAAGTTAACCAAAGATCTTTGACTGAAACTCAAAGTCTATTACTTGCACCGAATATTCAAGAATTTTCTAAGATTTGGTATCACAAAAACAGTTTTTTGTTGTTTTTTTTTGTTTGTTTGTTTGTTTGCTTGTTTTCTCGTTTAAAACAAGAAAAATGAAAGTTTTAAAAAATATATTCATTAAAATATACTCTGTAATAAAAAGCTCTGCCAGAAGACATCCTGTGTGTTTATACAAAGTAGGATTCCAAACAACTTGATACTGGAAAAGATCAATACATTTTCTAAGCTGTATCTTTGGAAGCCAGACTACTGGGAATGTGTGCTTTGGACATCAGAAAAAAATGCTGTGACCTTCAGAGATGTTGTTAAGGTAGCAGTACTTTTAGTCAGAACTAGAAGAATTACTATTTTGAAATCATTCAGTTAAGCTAAAATATAAGGTATGGAAACAGTGTCTTGTAACAGGCGATCCAACAAATAGTCATACCAGCCACATGTGCAACACTTCCCTCATTTGTTTATTCTTGAGTTGCCTGTGCAATTTGAGAAACATTTAGAGGACAGGATATCATAAAAAAGCAGAAATTGGGTTAATATTATAATTTATTTATCTTTTTTTGAGAAAGAAGTAGAACACTAGTGTTGCCCTGCAGAAGCAAAGTACTCAAACATAGAGTTTGAAAAACTAAAATGGGTGTCTACCTGGTAAATCTGCCCCTCAGAAACTTCCCTGATTTACACTGAGGACAGCAAAGCACTTTTAAGCCCTTCTTTTGCAGAATTCTCTGTCAGGAGGACAGCATCATCCTCAACAGAAGCATTAGGTTTCAGCAATTCACAATCATGCAACTGAGGATAATTTTTCTTTCTATTCCATTAAACTCTGTGCAGTGTACGGAATCCCATTAAATTTCACAAAATTAATGGAAGTATATTGTATATGCATGTATATGTGTGTACAAATAAAGCCTTCAGAAACTTTAAACACAGAGTAAAGGACAGCAGGAACAGTATTCAACCTTTAGGACAAGAAGAGTTTGTTCCTGTAATTTCCTGTACACCTTTGTTATTCTGCAATCATTATCATGCCTGTGTATGCAAACTCACCTTGTTTCCTGAAATGAAATGTTGTGTTATACATTTGAGTTAGAATCTGAAAAGAGATTGAAGATCCTGTAGCATAGCACAGCTTTCAATGTAAAAGTGTATCCTCCACACAGATCAGACAGTTGAAGACTGAAACTGAGGTTCTGGTTCTGAGCATCATGACAGCTATATAGAAAAGAGATAGAGGAGAACAGAAACAGACAAGAGAGATAAAACAGCAGAAAAGAAAATCCTACCTGTTTTCAAGATGGATTTCAGTGTAATCATATAAAGCATCGCACCTGCAGTGGCAGAGACTGTACCAGTGAACATTCTATCTTGCCAGTTCTCTGCTTTCCAAAGCCATTAGGCAGTGAGATTTATATTCTATGTCAGTGATCCACATACTGAGCGACACTATTGTGCTATTTTAGTTTGGGATTTTTTGATAAGACACCCGCTAGAAACATCTGGGCTTTCAAACAGATTTCTTATATTCATTTTAATAGGCCTTATGATAGTCTTCAGGGTAAAAAGTACCTGTCACTCAGTCTCAGGTACTTTATCCTTCTTTGAAGCTACCAGCTACTGGTGCCTGCATCCCAGCAGCAGCCCTGCTGCTATAATTTCACTGATGAATCACCTCCTCAGTAGCTTCAGTGTGAACTGTCAGAAAGTCTAATGCCTCAAAGGAGAGATATTCCTAGTTTTGTTTTTTTTTTTTTTTTTTTTTTTTTTTTTTTTTTTTTTAAAATATTTAAATACTCAGGAAACATTTTATTTCTTTTCTTTTTTTTCAGAGCCCTTAGGATTCAAGTCTTCAAGCTTCATTGGCAGCCACGTAAGCTAGAGGCATAGTTTTGCAATGAAAGCTAAGCTTCTCACATGGCCATGTGACTCAAGCTCCCAGGGCTTAGAGAAAAATATTGAGAGCTACAGTCTGTTAATGGAAGCTGACAACATTGTGTGGAATTTAGGAAGGAAGATGATCAGATATTCCACAAGCAGGAGAAATACAAGCTGTTATCAAGGTGAGATTAAAGCAGATAAAGCAAAGTAAACAAAGATTTTGTCTTAGGTACTATGGAACGGAACAATATGGAACAATAGCAGCCGAGCAGATCTCAATGGAATTGTATTGTTTTGGACTGATGTAATTTAGAGACAATAGATTAGTGATCTCAGAATAGGAAGGTGCAGGTCT